TTGGTTGGATCAAAGGTTTTGCTTGAATTTTATCAGCTTTTGCCAGATTGCCCTTCATGAAGATTTTATCTACTCCCACCAGTAAGGAATGAGCAGATGAGTGTCTGTTTCTTTGCCTTTCCTCATATAGCTTAGTAAAATTTATCTTTAGTCAATCTTGTAAGTGAAAAATGTAGTCTCCTTATAGTTTTAATTTGCATTTCTTTTGTATGAAATTGAGCATCTTATAGGTATGTATTAACCATTTGTATATCTTTTGGGATCTGAGACTGATGCTTTTTTCATTTGTTAGAAGGATTGCTATCTGGTTGGCAGCAGTTTATAAGGTGGTATTTTGAAATGCATATCAAATTTCAGAGAAAATTGACAAAACATACAGTATCACACAATTGATAAAATTTGGTATTTGTTTGGTTTCTTATCTTTCTGTGGTTGGTTCTTACTGATTTGTAGAAGCTCTTAACAAAATAGCATTTTGGATATAAATTGCAATTTTTGACCAGGTTGTCATTTATTTCTTACAGGTAATGAAAAAACTTTTGATTTTGATCAAGTACTGAACTTACCGCTTTATATGATGTCCCACGCTTTACAACATAACCTGCCCAAGCTTGTTTTAAGTTATTTAATTCTTATATTCTACTTTTGTGTTTTTATTTTAAGCATTTTTGCCCAATCTGGATTTGGTTGGGGGGGAATTCATAAGGTTTAAGGTAATTTCTCTTACCACTCCTTTTGCCACCTATACCAAATAACATAACATTGAGCTATTGAGGCTTACGTTCCCTGTGTAGTTAATTTTTTTCCACTCATAATTGCAACATTTAGTCACTGACACTAAAGTGAGGAATAATTTATATATATATTGTTTATTATTAAATTTTTAAATAACTTGTTTGGTTTTCTTTTTTTTTTTTTTTTTCTTTTTTGTGGTGCTGGGGATTGAACCCAGGGTCTTGTGCATGCTAGGCAAGCACTCTACCAACTGAACTATATCCCCAGCCCTTGTTTGATTTTCAATTAGAAAAATATGAATGTTTTTCTTAGTTTATGATTTTTCCTTAAGCCAAAGGAATGGGATGTTTCAAAAATTAAAAAATACATGAGTACAAAATTATAAATAATATATGTGAAGGATGTAATTAATGCATTACTATGCTTTGTTCAGAATTGGTGATGTCATCTGGCTGGATCAGAATTGGTTAGCTTGTAGTTACTCTTTCTGCATGTAGTGATTGGAATACTGTTAAGCTAGGTTGGTGCTATGAGCACTTTGAGTTTTGGGTTTATTTCAGTAATTAAACAGTGCTTGAAAATTTGAATTATGAGTTAATTCAAGGGAGTCTGATGCTACAGTAGGCATCTATTTGTTTAATCTGCCTCTTGTTTAACTTTATTAATTTAGACTAAGTCTTAAACATTAGCAAGAGTTTAAGACTTAGTCTAGTGTATAGAATTTAACAGTTCTGTTAAAACAGATTGCTATGCCTTACCTTCAAAATTTTTGATTAAGTAAATCAGGTGAGGCACAAGTTTTCTGTTTCTAATAAGTTGCAGATAATTTGTATGTCTTTAAGTGAATAGATCATTTCAAGTTTGGTTGTCTTGTAGCATTTTTGTTTACTTGTCCATTATTAAAACTTTAGAATTATGACTCATCTTTTAGCCTGGGTAAATATTTATTACTAGTAAGAAAGGTAGTAAAACTTGACTTAGGTATAGGGAAATGGTCTGTGGCTTTTAGGACCACCAGTATCTTCCTTGTTAGGTCTTTTATGTGTTATGTGTCAGATATCTCTCTCTCTCTCTCTCTCTCTCTCTCTCTCTCGCAAAGGGTTTCTTAAATTTAGCAGTATAGCAAATGATCAAGTACTCTCTTTTTTCTTGCTTTAGACTTAAATTAACAAATTTATTCTCTAAATTCTAGAGACCAGGGATTCAAAAGCATTGCATTGACAGAGTTGGTTCCTTCTGGAGATCCTGAGAGAACAGCCTTTCATTTCATGATTCCTTCCTAGCTTCTGATGACAACTAGCAGTCCTTGTTATTCCTTGCCTTATGTATCTCCAGTCTCTTTCTCCATCTTCACCTGGCTACTCTTTGTGTCTCACATTTCCCTCTCATTTCTTTTCATTAAGGATATGTGTGATTGGGTTTAGAGAGCACCATAAATGTTTGCAATCTCATATGAAGATTTTAACTTAACCTACATTCATAGGTACCAGAGGTTAGAACTTGGTCATATCTTTCTATAGGTACCTTTTTGTTGATATACATACATGTAGGTATGTTCCTTTATATTAGGTTTTAGGACAAGTGTGCTAGTGTAGGAGTGTGCTGTCATAGCACACCTAAGATTGGGAATCAATATAACATATAAACTAGTTTTAATAAGCTATTTAACTGGTTTTGAGACTCTGGAAAAGTTAACTGCTATTATTCAGATGTTTTCATTGGAAAAGAAGAGCACATTTGACTCTCTTGACCTTCCAACCTTAGAACTGCCATTTTTTTGTAAAATCTGTTGTTCAGACAACAAGTTTCACTTGTTAGTAAACTTCACATATTTTGTGATGTAGGAGATATTTAACTGCAGCATCTCATGGTTTGTATCACTGGGTGATTAATCAAATTAACATTGAGGAAACATTAGGAATTTTCTCCGGAATCTGAAAGACAGGGTTTGAATGTGGTTGACCATTTAATTTAGTACTTATAATAAACATGGTTGTTGATTAAAGCATGGCAAATAATAGTTCCATTAACTGATTTGTGGTGTTCATGTCCTCTTAGGAAAAATGCAGAAGAATGGCTATGCTTCTGTGTATCTCCATGTTGTGGTTGCCTAACGCTTGAGAAATGGGCAGAGGAAAAAAGATCAAAATAAAGAGTGGTTTTTTGAAGAGTTTTAAGAAATTTTCAAGTTCAAGTTGTATTATTAGTTTTGTGATTTTCCCCCTCCCCCATTTTTAAAGTCCAAATTGATGCATATCTTATGTGGGATCATTATAATTGGTGGCAATTTGGTGGTTCCCATTGCTTGTGAATGCTTGCACTTGATCTGGCTGTATATGTTATCGCTTCATTTGAGTATTGTTAGTTATTGGGACTACACGTACTGAATTAGCTAATTAAAATGCCTTCAAAAATGTTACCCTAGGAGTCTCTGTTGAATGAATAGCTAGCTATTTAGTATCTGGAAAGTTGAGAAACAGTGATAGGATATAAATTTTCTAGTATTTGGGCAAAATAGTATTTGCTCGAATGCAAACATTTATTCTTTAAAGCCACAAATTAGTTCTGTTGAAACTAAGGAAGTTACCCACAAGTGGATTATGTTTTGCCATTGAGGTAATGCGCAAGAGGATTGCCCGCCTTGTGTCAGTAATACATCCAAAGGCACAAACTGCCAAATGTCCTCAAATAGATCAAAGAAATTCCAAAGGATCTAGAGGCCATAGTGTAGCTGACTCATGCACTGTGTTGGACTGACTTTAAGGCATTGAGTCATATTTTAATTGGCAGTGTTTTTTCTTTCACAATCTTAATAAAATAATCTTGTAGGTAATACGTTACCTAGTCCAGGTTGTTGGTTTTTAAAAAATAACACCACCAAAGTAGAAGATAGGAAATATTCAATTGGGACGAAATGGACTTGTTTGCCCAAAAATTGGTTAAATTTAGAGTTAAGTTTTAGTGGAGTAAAGAGAGGGATTCACTTCTCTTGTACACTGCCTGCCAGTTTGCTGAACTTACTGCTCCAGCAGATGGCATTAGCTAAAAATATCAAGTTGGCTCATGAAAGATTAGGTTAGACTAATCATGAAAAAAGAGCCAGAGGATGAAGTCATAAATGATGATTTCAGATAATTTCTACTGCTTTTAAATCTGTAAATAAAATCATGGGCTTTTATTTACTGAATGAACGGTGAATTCAGCATTTAAAGGCATATTGTGTTTCGTCCATGGGCCAAACGGAGGATATAATTGTTTTGTATGAGTGTTAGCAGAGTGGAATGGACTGGGAATGAATGGCTGATACTTAATTTACATGGTGCTTTTCCTATGATGCTTAGATTCCATATTAACTGCCTTTTTTTGAGCCATTCCTAATCCTGGTTTCCCTCTCTTTGGTTCATTAATCATTCTTAATGTTGTTTGCCTTTTATATTCCATTTATGTACCAGCATTTCCACAGTGCTGTTGCTGCCCCGCAGTCCTAAAACCTTTATGAATGATTTCTTTTTATGCTTCATTAAGGTGTTTTTTCAGGTGGGAAAAAATGGTAGACGTATTCTCTGTGAGCCCCTTTCAACCAAGAACCTGAGCCTGTGAACTTTGTTAAGAATTGTTAGGGCTTTACTTTTTTGAAATGTGCATTTGCATGTGGTAACATTTTAGTGGTGTGATGTCTTAAAGCAACTGAAAATGGCTTATTGGTTTTATTTTGCAGGATGAATATTTACGTCTAAGATTATTTTTAAGATATTCATTTATATCTAAGTGTCCAATTTGGCATTTGTGTGAAACGTGTGTGGTCATTGCCTTCCATAATCAGGAATATTTTGGTTTTTCAGTACATTGCAGTATTTGAGAAGATTTTATGATGTATAGCTTGTTTGGTGTGTGCTCTTAAGACATTCTCTTGAAGCTTAATTTTGTAATTAATCGTGAAAGAATAACATTTTTTTGGGGAAAGTCCTGTCCTCCCTTGTCCCCACCCATGCTGGGGGTTGAATCTACGGACGCTTTATCACCAAGCTACACCTTTTTCGTTTTTTTGAGACAAGTTCTTGCTGAGTTGCTGAGACTGGCTTTGAACTTGAGATCTTCCTGCCTCAGACTCCCAAGTCACTGGGATTATAGGTGTGCATCAGTGCACCTGGTTGAAGAAGTTTAGTTTTTATTTACCAAATGTCTTTGTTTCATCTCTCTGTTTTCAAGTTTTCTTTTAAAATGACCTAAATGAAGCTTGACCAACATGTTTTTTGTAAATATAGGTATATGACTGATGGGATGTTACTTCGTGAAGCCATGAACGATCCCCTCCTGGAACGTTACGGTGTGATAATTCTTGATGAGGCTCATGAAAGAACACTGGCTACAGATATTCTCATGGGTGTTTTAAAAGAAGTTGTAAGACAGAGATCAGACTTAAAGGTGAAGTACTTTTCTTTACCCATTTAGTTCATTTTGTGTGTATGCATGTATTAAAGTGGGAAATATCCTGATCATTAATCAGCTCTTTTAAAAAATAACTTCTAAAAGTAGTGTCCAAGTACTGCCTATGTTTTTACTTTGATGTGGCTTCATTTTAGACTTCACTTATATTTCTCCTGCTTTTTAGTTATGTACTTTAAAACCAAATCTTTCTAATTTCTAACCCATCTGATTCTTCGTATTCTAACATTTTGTTTTGTTTTTTTGATCATACTAGTCACTCTATTCATCATTAAGTGCAGAGACCTCCTTAAAGGATCAGTTTTTATCCCTCAGATTTATGTCTATCTTCCAACATGAACATCCAGGACAATCAGCTCCTCAGAAATCTTGTTTTGTTTTTTTTTTTTAAACCCCTTCTTTACCACTTGTACCTTGGCCAGTGTTGTTATGTTAAGGTCTTAAAACTGTCTGAATAGTATATATATATATAATTTTTTTTTACATTTTTTGACCCAAAGTTTAGGAAGTTCCCCCCTTTGCTTTCTTGTGTGCGTGTACCATACTTTGAAACTTAAAACTCATCATCTCACCATTCCTTGTTAGTATGTGTGCTGTACAAGCACCATATAAGTACTATCACTATTAAAAATTATGGATGAGCTGTCAGGGTTTCAGTGGAGAAATCTCATTTAAAATACGAAATTAAGAATTCTAGTGGAATGATGTATGAGGGAGACTTACAGTAAAATTTTATTAGTTTATATGATTTGTATGGGGGTGTGACTGCATAATCATGAAGTTCTGTACCTGAAAAGACTTTTTTTTTTTGCTCTGCCTTTGTACAACAAGTGTAGAAGATCCTTGCTTATTTTAGGATTTTTTTTTTTTAAAGATGTGTGTATTAAAGATGATTTGGAAGAACTGAGAAAATTTACACCTGGTCCACTAGTTAATATTGCATTTTCTTTTTTTTCACGTGGAAACATGTTTTGTTTGAATAAATGTAGCAATAATCATGACATTAATGTGGTTCTCCACTAGTTCTTTCACAAACTTTCATTTGGTATTGTTTCAAGGTAATTGTAATTTATTTACTTAACTAGATATTTCTAAATATTTTTGAATAAAAAGCTTTTACTGTACCTCAGTCTTTCTGTATTTCATTTTTAAAGTGGTTTATTAAAGATCTTTACAGTTTTCTTTATAACTGTATACAGAACAGTAAATCAGTACTTTTCTGTTTTTTTCTTTGAGGCCATGAAAGAGCTTAAAGGTGACTCAAGTAATTTACTGTTTTCTTTCAGGTTATAGTTATGAGTGCTACTCTAGATGCGGGAAAATTCCAGATTTACTTTGATAACTGTCCTCTCTTAACTATTCCTGGCCGCACGCATCCTGTTGAGATCTTTTATACTCCAGAACCAGAGAGAGATTATCTTGAAGCAGCAATTCGAACAGTGATCCAGATACATATGTGTGAAGAGGAGGAGGGAGATCTTCTACTTTTTTTAACTGGTCAAGAGGTACCGTTATTATTAGCCTTTGGCCTGTCATTTCTATTAAATGGCAACTTTAAACGATTTGGCATATATTACCATAGTTTCCTTATTGTGACCTTTTTTTCCTTCATATTGATATATAAAATTTGTAGCCGTTTTTATATATAAAATTAATATATAAAATTTGTAACCGTTTTTCTTTCTACTCTTAGGAATACTTTTTAAACTACTAATGCTTTTGTGTTAGGGTTAATTATCCTGAGTGTTAAATGATTTTAGAATTCCAAGATTTAGCAAATTGTATCTTCACTTTGGAAAGGCCAGCAAACTGGGACATGAATTTGCATCACAGCTCCTATGATTTCAGGCAGTCTTCATCAGTTATTTAGCTTGTGTGTAGACTTAAGTGCCAATCAGTCATCAAAAAACCTTGTTTTGTGTTTTATCTTCCATGTACTCTTTGAGAATTGTGAGGATAGCATGTCTTCTTTAGAATTTACCTCATTTTGAGATACAAATCTCAGTTGTCTTGTGTTCTAAACTCTTCCAATAGGGTGTTTTTAGACATGGGTTCTGACGTTCTCAAGTGGCTAAAGAAGTTCAGGAAAAACTATTTGGATAAAGCAATTTTAGAAAATGTTTTTGTAAAGGGTTTCTTAAAGTTTTTTGTTGAGTTTTGTGAATTTTCTAGAATGCACTAGAATTTTCTAGTATGTGCTCTTTAATGTACATGCAAATCACTTAGACAATTTGGAGATTCTGATTCAGTGGGTCTTAGTGGATCCTGAGAACCTGCCTCTAAGAAGCATGCTGGTGGTGCTGACTTTCCTTCAGGTCTTAGTGTCAGGGTCTAGAGCAGGTCCAACAGAACTTTTTGCACTGCTGGAAACATTGTATATTTGCACTTTTCACTGTGATCGCCACCAAGAAACAGGGCTTTTGAGCAATTCAAGGTGGCTGGTATGAGGAGAGACTAAATTTTAATTGTGTCTAAGTTTAAATAGTTAACACTTAACTGACCCACATCATGTTTTTGTATTTGCATGGCCCACTGGTTAAGAATTGCTTTTGCATTTTTAAAAGGTTATCTCTGATAAAAGAACCTGACAACTGAGATCTTAGATGAATGAAAAACTTAATGTGTTTTGGCACCCCAAAAGATCTGGCTTCTCTTCTGGAACTTTTTTTTCCTCAGGTGTGGTAGATTGCCCACTTCTGGAAGATAATTCTTTTAAAACAAAGCAAATACTTGTCTCTTTTCCAAACTTGCTCTAACAGATGAAGTTTGGGGATGAAATGTAGGAATCTGCATCTTCTGTAAACTCCTGGGGCCATTTTTATGTCCTTTTGGTTTAAGGGTCACTTTTCCAGAGGAATAGTTTATAGTATGATGCCTATGATACGATAATGACAGCCTAAACATTGTTAAGAGAAATTGCTGCCATTTGTCTCAGATACCAAAGGTCTGCTAAGCAACAACATCTCTGCAGTAAATGTGAATTCTCATTTATGTTCACATTCTACAGGGATATTTGGTAGATAATTCTTGAGCAGATGTCATTGTTAAGAGCTATTAATGTTGAGTAATTTTTTTTTAATCTTTGGATTTCTTCTGGTTTGTCTTGATCGTTTGTGATTTATAATTTGTTGGCCTTAATTTCCTTTCTTTAGAGCACGGTCTCTTGATTTGGATGCCATATGTATTATAGAACATCAATATCAATGCTTTACACATCAGATGCAATACTATTTCTTCCCTTGGTTGTGAAAACCAGATGTCTGCAGACATTACAAAATATCCCCTAGGAGGTTGCAGAGTCATTCCCTGTAGAGAAATATAATTGTCCTTTTGGAAAATAGGTGTGTTGCAAATTCAGTTTCCCAGAGTTACCTTCTTGGTGTACTGGTCATCCTTTCTATGCATTTTGATTAGGAAATTTCCTTACATTTTGGAGTACTAAATGTTTTTTTTTGATGGCATATAAATGACATGTATGTTGTAACTCATTTTTGAGGTACTCATTTTGTCCTCTTGTGTCTGGTCTCTAAATCACTTCTTTCAAAGTGCATAGTGTATTTTCTTAAATGACTAAAGTAGTCATTATGCGCAGATAACCAAGCATATCAGAAGTATCAGATAGCCTCATGGTAAGGACCTCAAAGGGTTTCTCTAGCTGGGGAAACAAAGGCAGTATTCCCAGTGGTTTTCATATGTGTACTGGAGTATGTCTTTCACAAAATAAAGTGATACTGTAGTTGTGAACTATAGCTGTGTAAAGTTCTCTTTAGATGTCTAGTCTTGAATTTGGAGACTTTTGGGAAGAAGGTGGATTTTATTGATTTTGTTTAGTAGATATGATATAAAGATAAATAAAACATTACTGTTTCTCCCTTTTTGGTGAAACTTTGGTATTTTTAGTTGGTATGTTAAATGGTAGATTCTGGGAAGTTGGTACTTGCCTTCATAAATTTGGCGAGCTTCCTTGAAATCTAGTAATCTTGTGAAATTTGAAAGTTTTTTTTTAAAGACGTTACCATTTTAATCACTTTTTAAAAACAATGGTGCTCCTGAACTCATCTGAGCTAATGTGGGAGAGAGCACGCATCCAGTTTAAATTGGTGAAAATTGGAAATCTAGAATGTTTTTATTATTTCAGTGCATACAATTTGGACTTAAGCTGTTCGTGTTGGCATATGCCTAAAAAATCCCATTGACTTGGGAGGCTGAGGCAGGAGATTTGCCAAGTCTGAGGCTATCCTTGGCAACTTAGAAAATCTTTCTCAAAAACAAAAAGGTATGGGGATTGCCACAGTCCGCCTGCAGCAAAATAACGGGGGGGGGGGGGGAAGGAACAACTTGTGTAGATTGATACAGCAGGAGTAGGAGCCATTTGTTGTAGGACAACACAACAGAGGTATTTATACATTCCACACACCTTATCTTAATTAGCATAAACTAGATATATCAGTCAACCAATAAGGAATCTCCACACTTAATGGCTCACTGGCGTTACTTCACAAACCACTCCCTCTGCCAAAATGCCAGGCGCCATCCAGACTTGTTTACAGACTCTAACATTTGCCAGGCACCATCCTGACTTGTTTACAGACTCTAACAGGGGATGTCACTCAGTGGAAGATTGTCCCCTCCTCCCCCAATCTCCACTAGTGCAAAATAATAAATAATCAATCTGGACCTATGATAAGTGTTATTAAGATAGAAGTCCTCAGGCAAGTTATATACTACTGGATCAGGTAGGAGATTGTAATTGCACCAAATATTTATAAGTGGATGCTTGAAGATCTGAAGATTCTCAGATCCTTCATTCCTTGAGCAGAACATAATTTTTCTTAGTAATATGCTTTTTCAGCATTTAATGAATTTGTAAGTAAGTTCCAGTTTAATTAACATACTTGTAAAGCTGAAAGTCTTTTTCGTCAAGTCAGAAACTCTTCACGACCAAGCAGATGGCTACTGATTGGGAAGGGAATCTGCCATTTCTGTCTTTCTGATAATTGTAGGAGAGTTTAATGGCATTCTAAACTGATAGTTTTGACTAAGAATGGTTAAAACTTGAGGAAAAATGTATTGTGGAATTTTAAACACTGTTTAGAACCTTATTTATATAAAAACACAAGTGATATGGATTTTTTTTCCTTCACTTCAGAGGATTATTTATATCCCTGATGTCAACATTTTGTTTTAGCTCCATACATGGCTGAACACATTAGTTCCAATTTGTAATTATCTAAAATACTGGTGTCTTAAAGCAAATATATGATTTGGGCTGTTAATTTTTTAAGATGTGGAATCTGGATGTTAGATGACATTTGACCATTTATTTTCCAGTTGTGTTTTGTGTAAAATTAACAATTGCAGATACTCTAAATATTGGAAGTGTGATTTTTGTATTTATGTTAAAAAATTTGTTAGCGATCTTAATTTTGTATGTGCGTACCAGCAGGGGGCATTCTCATCTAGATTCAGCATTCGAAAGCAATTTTCTTTGTAAATACTTGTTTCCTTTGTTAATGTTCTTTTGATGAATAGCATTATATTTTCATTTTCTCCTGGAAGTTTGGGATCTTAGAGGACACTGTTAATATCAGGTTCTTTGTAGTGATTTTTCTGGTGTCACAGTTTTTGAGACAGATACCAGTTTTCTTAAATGATATATAAAGTTATATGTTTGGGGTAGGTGAAAACAATGTTTTTCTTAATATATCCAAGAACTTTGTATTCTTTAATGCAGGGTTGTACTTGGATTTAAAGTCATTTTAAGGAAAATAATTCTAGTTTGATGTAAAATCACCTGAAATTACCCCCTCTTTGAATCATTCTATCTTATGAATAACAGATAATTAATGAGGATAGTCTCAGGTTGGGTTGTTCAATGGTTAGACTACGTACTAATTTATAGTATTATAATAACCCTAACCCTAACCTTAATGTTCTTTCTTCCAAGTTGAATTATTGTTTCAATAAGGGTTAGGTAACATTTATCCCCCTGTATACTCTACCCTCCATATGTTAAACCCTTTAACCATCCCTAAAGTGGCCACTCCTCCCTTCTTCTCAGTATTATTCATTATGTCTCCTCCCTTTAAATTTTGATTTGAATACAAGTGCATTGGAATAGATTTAGGTGATAGGGGAAATTGTGAAGCTGCCCTAAGATATTTGGGTTAGCCTAGTTCTTAAATATCTATGTTGGTACTGTAAAGGTGTTTGTTCTCATTAGGCACAGTGAAGCAAATCTTGCATATAATTGCATTAGTGATACGTGACATTAAAGCCTAATTGGCTTATTTAAAATATCTAGCACATCAATTTCTTTTAGATTGTGAAAATTGAAAAGGTCACAAGTGCAGTTAAATATTCCTGGGTGAGAAATTTCAATTTTAGTACAATTTGTTCAGAATTAATTAGGAAATCTGACTCTTCAAGAAAAGGGGTGTAGAATGCAAATAAGGTAGCTATACATTCAGTTGAATAGAGAAATCAACATTTTTGAGGTGGTTTTGGAAATCCCACTGAAATTTGCTAAAATAGTTTCAATACATTGAAAATAGGGTATCTGGCACATCATATACTTAAAATAAACTGCATAGAAATGTTCAGTATTTTTGTTTTTAGACTCAAAACTTATTTTGTAGGAAATTGATGAAGCCTGTAAAAGAATAAAGCGCGAGGTTGATGATTTGGGTCCTGAAGTTGGTGACATTAAAATCATTCCACTGTACTCTACACTTCCACCCCAGCAGCAGCAACGCATTTTTGAACCTCCACCTCCAAAAAAACAGAATGGAGCCATTGGAAGAAAGGTAACAAAGAAACATTCTTTATAATATTTCATTAATATAAAAAGACTTGTGAGATATCAAGCTATGCTGTGGGTAATTGTGATTTGGGTGAAACAACAAAATAATCTTCATTTCAAAAATAAATAGAATAAAATTTTTTTGGGTGGAGTGTATATATCTTCTTTTTTTAATATTTATTTTTTTTTGTAATAGGTGGGCAAAATATTATTTTATTTTTATGTGTTGCTGAGGATCGAACTCAGTGCCTCACACATGCTAGGGGAGCGCTCTACCACTGATCCACAGTGCCAGCCCCATATATATCTTTTGACCATAGCAGAAGAAAATATACTTCTTTCTCCCCACGTAGGGAGTTCCTCCTTAACAAATGATAGATTGGTTAAGCTAAGGGGAAGGTGGCCAAGTACTTTATTCCATTCAGTGAATGATTGGTAAAACTAAGCACTTCATTCTGTGGTGTTTTGGCTTCTAACTTATTTTTCTGATTTAATCAAATTTTCAGATATAGGTGTGGAGTGTTGACACTGCACAGAACTCTTCATAGCACTAACACAAATCACACTGCATAAATACATGGGTTCCTTGAAGGCAGGAACTATGTCTGGATCCTGTTGGGAGGAATGTGTGCTTGGCACAGGGAAGGGAACAAAGTTATTCCAACCCTGTCTCTCATATACTTTGTTGGGAAATTGAAGAGCTGAGTGCCAGTTTGAAACAGTAGCTGTTTTTATTTAGTTTTTGAGGTTTGGAGGATCTGATAAATTTGCAAAGAAGATTAAACTATATCAAATGGTTTGAGAACAGTCTTGTCGTAGGTGATTCCAGGGGGAATGAGAGTAAGGAAGAACATCATTCTGATGGGAAAGACACTCTGAGCCCCAGCTTGTTAAAGCACAAGTGAAAGATTTTCATGCAGGGCTAGCTCATGGAGGAGCATCTAAACATCAAATCCACAATTTTCAGTACTGGGCAAGATGGCTGCCCGGCTGAGATGGGGGTAACTGCATCCCTGAGATAATTGAAACATGCCCCATGCTCTGTTTAGGCACTGACCAGCAGGCAAGATGAAGAGGTGAACAGTAGGCTTAGGACTTGACAGTCCTATTTAGAGCTGCAAAGGTGCTAGAGGATTGTGGGAAGAGGTAGGAGGTAGACCAGGAGGAACTGCTATTCGGTTGTTTTCTTATTTCTGTTTAAAACGCTGCAGCTTTTATAATAGTCACCTTAAGCGAGTAGAGGAGTAAGGGCTAAGGCTTGGTTCTGCTGTTGTTAATGTTACTGTGCCAATTACTAGAAGTGTTACTGTCACCATGATGTTCATAATTAATTTAAAATTATATAGGAACATTTAGAGGTTTACGCTCTTGCTTTTTACTGAGAAAACAAAATATAACTATTTTGTAAAATGGTTTACTTTTTTCCTAACAAACATAAGATAACAGCTAGCATAGAATAGGTTATGAGACTATTGCAAGTTTTTGAACAAATTGAATATTTAATAGAGTTTTTAAAATAACATCAAAATATTTGTAATTATAGCTTTATTTTATGGTTTTTTTTGTTTGTTTGTTTGTTTGTTTGTTTTGTGGTGCTGTGGATCGAAGCCAAGACTGTGTATGGGAAGCAAGCATTCTACCAACTGAGCCCCTATTTATGTACCTTTTATAAGGCATTGTTATTCTTTATTCCTCATTCTGTTTATGCAGAATAAATTCTATAACCTGATTGTGTAGAACCAACAACAATTTTTTTTGTACTGAATTTTTAAATATGGGCTATGTGAAAGTTAAGTTTTGGGGGCATTTGAGCACTTAAGTAGCTTCTAACATTGGACTAATAGTGTAGTAGGTTGCAATTTTTAACTATTGAGAAAGGTTGAGAATATGGTAATGTATTTGTATGAGGGTGTTTTTTACCTGTTGATGCTTTTTAAAGTTTGTTCAAGTATTTCAGTAAACTAAAAACTATAGAAGACTATTTTAAAATTATACTTATTGGTAAATCTCTTCTTCTGAGCATCCCAAGACTTATAATTATTGTTCTATAGAATTGGTGTTATTTAAATCCAGCAATGAGTCTTTGATTAAAATACTTAGTTTTCATTAATTTTATCTATACACATAGCTGATTTTCTGTAACTTTCCTATAGCTTGCTGAATAATATGGCTCAGAATGTAGATTGCTCAATAAAAAAGGGAAATGGCCCATGTGAAGATGGTTCTATAGTCTTAAAGGGAGACTTAATGATCCACAATCTGAAGATAGCTTGGTGTACAAGCAGATAAATTAATGTCTTTAAATTGGGCAACTCCACAGAGTTCCCTAGAGAATAAAAATCCAAACTAGCTTAACCTAAATGCATTATTGTGTTCAAACAGTATTTAAGTAGAGCAACACAAGTGCTCTGAGTTGTACTGTGTTAAAGTGTAATTACTGAACTAAATGAAAGTGGGTCCCATTAGAAGACAGTTGGGGAGGGGTCCTCTGCGTATTTTTGCAGTGATGCCAAACCTTTACCGTGGTATTTAGTCTTTTTGGAGTTGTTTACCTAATATAGTTAGTGAGATTTCACAGTACTTTGAAGACTCTTTGAGCACTTATTGCAAAGATAACAGTTATTATGACAATTATGTAGATTTCTGCTAGATCTTGACATTCAGGATCACTTTTTTCTGACCAGTTCCTAATTGGATTGTGCCTCCTGTAATCTGTTTAGGACTTGATTAACTGATTCACTGAGATTCAGACAGACCAAAAAAAAAAAAAAAAAATCCACAACCCTGACTTTCCAGAATGTTGGGGATTATTCTGGAGTCTACCTGTCAACCTTATTTACCTTCAAAGTTTGTTTCACTTCTGATTATATGCTGTAACTATCCTTAAGAATGCCTTTCAGTAATAACCACAGGATCATCTTTAGTTAAGAAACCTTTGCCTTTTGCCATTCTTTTAATTAATGAAAAAGGAAGCCTTTTTGACATGTAAATAATATGAAATACCTGTTGATAAATGTCAAAGTTTCTTGCCAGTATTTAAAAAAAATCTCCCACTGCAAGTATGAAATCAAAAAATGAAACTCTTAGTATTAAATTCCAAGTAATAGTGTAACGAAATCCTGTGAATTTTTAAAACCATTTGATTTGCAAAATTAAAAATTTAAAGAAATAAAAGAATAGGGGTAAGTAGAAGTGCTTTCATTTCTTAGATATTCCCATGGGACATTCTTAGGCACATATTCTTTTCTGAGTAGACCCTTTTATGGCTTGTGCCTTTTCTTCTTTTGTGAGTAGCTTTCACCTTACCTTCAAATACTGTCCTAAATGCCATTTTCTTGGTAAAACCTTCTTTGTCTTCATTGTGGAAATAACCCCTTTATAATCTCACAGCACATCTTCCAGTGTCATTTACACTTTCTATCCATGTCTAATCTTCTCTTAGAAACTGAAAGCTGGAAGAGCAGACTCTATCTGATTCATCTTCTGTGTCAACTGCTTACATATACATGTGTCTCTAGCTGAATGCCAGTAATCTGTTCCTGAAAATCAGATGTTCTGGTAAAAATACTAACAGAGAGTAACATTTCCTATTGTTTTAAAAGGAAGAAAATTATATCTTTGTTCCTTGGACTGTCTCCAATTTCCTAAATTGCAAAGGGTCTCATATGCAAAAATAAGCTATCATATTAGTATGAAAATGATTTAAACATTATTCCATGTAACAAATGTGTGGTTCCCAACAGTTGCTTTATATGCAGTGTAACACATTATATGTCACCACTTTGAGACTGTACACTTTCCAAAACATCTACATTTCTGATGATCTGCCAGTTCTTTTTTTTTTTTTAATTAATTTTTTTGTAGTTGTAGATGAACAGAATGCCTTTATTTTATTTGTTTATTTTTATGTGTTGCTGAGGATTGAACCCAGTGCCTCATGCATGCTAGGCAAGCGCTCTACCAGTGGGCTATAGCCCCGGCCCGATCTGTCAGTTTTTACTGGAATGTAGCTTTTTCTTGTGCTGTTTTGTTTAAAATGTTGATTTTTTTAAAAAATGAAATGAATATTTCATTTGTAAAATAAAAATAAATATTGTCTGTAAACATTCAAAGAAATGGGGCTGAGGTTGTGGCTCAGTGGTAGAGCGCTCACCTAGTACATGCGAGGGCCTGAGTTTGATCCTTAGCACTACATTAAAAACAAATAAAATAAAGATGTTGTGTCCAACTGTAAATAAAAAATAAATATTTAAAAAAATTCAAAGAAATGCATGTTTTATGAAGCTGGTCATTAATTAAAGTGGATTGTAGCAATAAGGCATTTACATAATGACCTTATCTGTATTTTTTTTGGATGTTGTACTTCTGTTTGAATAATCCAAATGTAGTGTAGTTGAGTGATAATCTGAAGGAATAGCTTTGTTGGAAAGGGGAATTACTATTGTGAGCTAAATTAAAATTTATATTTTTAAATTTTAGTTTGTCTTATAAAGCATTAACTACTGAAGATAAATCTTTACTTCCATTTATTTACTGGTTCAGAAGTCATGGTAGTGGTTAATCTTAAATGTCATGTTAACTTTATTGATGTGTAATAAAAATTTGTATACTGTATTTTTTAATAGGTAGTTGTGTCAACTAACATTGCAGAGACATCATTGACAATAGATGGTGTGGTATTTGTGATTGATCCTGGATTTGCAAAACAGAAGGTATGTATTTTAGTGCTTTAGTTGGATACTTTATAAATTGGTGTGACAGTTTTTACCACCCATTCATCTAATGACTAAAAATTGCTTTTTAGAATTACTTTTTTATTTTGTTTCATTTTAAGTTTTCTTTCTGCTGTATGATCCTTTTGCATTTAGCTGGCTTTAGAAGTTAAGGTAGCACTTTTTTGGTTTAATTGTAGCCCCGACCTCTTTAAGGTTTTGGGGTGTCTGTTTACTGGGTATTTTGGTTCGTTTGCTTACTTAAGGAGAGTGGGGTTGATAATAAAGTGCAATCCCTGCAGATGACTCACGCATCCAACATTAGAGTTCCTGCCATGTGCTGAACACACTGTTTGAATATAGATAACAGTGATGGACACTGAACACTTTTGCTGGACAATGCTGGTATGCGAATACCTCTTTTTTCCCCAGACAACATATTTTTTGACTAAGTTGATTACGTTTGTAGGTATGTTATCAATGGAAAACATTAAAAGCATATATTTAACAATATGGACCAAGTTAAAAATAATTTTTGTGATGTCCACTTTTAACATTGGGTGTTGAAACTGCAGGTTTCTTTTTAGGAAAAATTCTCCACTGTCCAGCATGGTGGAAGGGAAGTTAAATTAGGAGGAGTGAAGGTTTTGTAAGCTAACTCTGTTATTGGATCTTTTCTTGTTAGCTTAACTCTTTTGTACTAATAGAATGCTAGAAAGAAAGGCCACGAGATAGCAAGTTCCTTTTGGGGATAGCCGATTTACACTGGTCATTAATATTATTTTGGCATCAGCTATTGTCTTTGGCTATTTCTAATGGTTCCAGTTTTATGTTTAGCTGAGAATTGTTCTTTTGTTATGTTCATTCTAATAGGTATACAATCCTCGAATCAGAGTTGAATCTCTTTTGGTGACAGCTATTAGTAAGGCTTCAGCTCAACAAAGAGCTGGTCGAGCTGGACGTACCAGACCTGGGAAATGCTTCAGGCTTTACACAGAAAAAGCTTATAAAACAGAAATGCAGGTAAGACATATTGCCCTGTTCTTACTGTGTATTTGGAAGGTTGAATTGTGTTACCAGAAAAAAGTTGCCTTGTTTAATGTACCTTACCTTTTATAAGCTGCTTAGTTTTGAATGAGATTTGTGGTGTAATCTACCAGTACACCTACCCCCCAGTTTTGAGTTAAGGTGGACAGTACTAAGCAGTTCCAGCATTATAAAGATGGTTTGGGAAAGTATCTGATTTCTCTCTAGTCTAGTTTACATGTATTTTTCTTCTGAGTCAGATGACCTGTAGCAAATAGCTATTGAGACAGAGAACAGAGATAGGATTTCTTGCCTCTGTAGGGATGACTAGTAAGGTTAAGCCTAACTTTTTTTTCCCCCTCCCTCCCTCTCTCTCTCTCTCTAGGATAACACCTATCCTGAGATTTTGCGTTCTAATTTAGGATCAGTTGTGTTACAATTGAAGAAACTTGGTATTGATGATTTGGTGCATTTTGATTTTATGGATCCACCAGGTATGGCTTATCATACATTTTATTAGATCTTTTAACCAAAATTAAATCTTTGTTTCTTGGCATACTATTTAATGTATGTATCAAATACATTTTACTTAACTTTTCTTCTAGCATGCATCAAGATAAGTCTAAAATGGTAACATTGCAACAAAAAGGGTGACATAGCTGGGCATGGTGGCACATGCCTATAATCCCAGTGGCTTGGGAGGCTGAGACAGGAGGATCACGAGTCCAAAGCCAGCCTTAGAAAAAGTGAGGTGCTAAGCAATTCAGTTCAGACCCTGTCTCTAAATAAAATACAAAATTGGGCTGGGGATATGGCTCAGTGGTCAAGTGCTCCTAAGTTCAGTCCCTGGTACCCTCCCCCCAAAAAGGGTGTGACATACATGAGCGCATTGTTTTTTTCCTCCCTTCGAAGTTATTCTGGGAGTTTAGATTAATTGAGTTTTTGTCTGGGCTTAAAAATGTGAGAATTTCATTTTTCTATTTTTTCTTATGAAACATAGTTTGATAAATGTATTAATAAATTAACATACATTTAAGACAAAGACAGTTTTAACTACAGGAAAAAATTGTAATTTTGTGTGATTCATTGTTTACTTACTATGTCTGTATAATTGAATTTGACAGTTTCAAGTTTCTAGTAAGGTCCACTGTAAAATGAAAAATGAGATTGCTTATAATAGTTTGCACTTTGTCACATTTTTGCTTGCTTAAGGCAACTTGTCTAATAGATTGCCTCTCTCCCCCCCCTGCCCCCCAGCTCCTGAAACTCTGATGAGAGCCTTAGAACTTTTGAATTATCTGGCTGCTTTAAATGATGATGGAGATCTGACTGAATTGGGATCCATGATGGCAGAGTTTCCTCTAGATCCACAGCTCGCTAAAATGGTTATTGCAAGTTGTGACTACAACTGTTCTAATGAGGTCCTATCTATTACTGCTATGTTGTCAGGTAATAGAGGGAAAGGAACTAAAAATAGCCCAGCTCTTCAGAGTTTGGGTGGACTTCACTTTTGTTTGTGTTTTTTAATATTTAGTATGGTAGTGGATTTTAGAGATGGTTTTAAGGAATTCATTTTGTTTCCTAAATACCTTGTAAATAGCATCCTAATGACATAGTACTTACAGAAGTAAAGTATGTCTTTGTGCGTAAAACATAGTAAAACATTGGCTCTCTTTAGTGCAAATAAAAATTCCAGTAAGAATAAGATTGAATGCAATTGTACCTGAATTCTTTGGTAGGTCCATCAGTGCTATCTTCGAGGTTTATTACTGAAAAGTACAAGAAGAACTTTGTTCTAGTACGTGGCACTATTCAGTGAGCCTGTGATATATTTAAATTGAACCTTTTCTCCATGTAAGATGTGTATTCCAGTGACAGTCAAACAAACCTGAATTTCAAATTTAGTATTAGAAGTAGTTTTAGGCTTAAAATATAATCTGATATTAATGTTCTTTTACAATGGCAGGAAAGCAGTTGGTAAAAGAAATATATTAATAAACTTGCTAATTTTTGAAAATTGGAATAATAAGCTGAGGAATTTGTTATTTTTAGTCGTAGTAAAACGTAATCCACAGATGATTAGTAATTTAGAAATTTAGATTTTCCAAAAAGGAGGTGGAATATTCTTAACAAACAAATGGTTATTCTTACAGCTAAAAATAGAAAATTAAGCTTTTACTGATAATCTAAATATTGTATGCTACTAGTTTCAGTACTGGAGAGAACTAACTTCTAATTGTGGAGTGGTGTATTGATCTTGACTATTTAATGCCACGAGTACTTAAAAATCTTCTATGGAATTAAAGGATAAATTGAAAATTTTTCTAAATATTTAATTATGGCTTAGTTTAGATGCGTGGTATATTCTAATGGTGTGAACTTTTTATTTAAGAAGTAGCTAAAATGTTTTCTTGCAGAGTTATGACTGATCAGACTCAGAGCAGATGGGCAGGGCAGTATCGAATCATTTAATTAAATTGTAGTCTCATTTGCGGAGGTGGTGGTAGGTTGTTGTCTGCCTTTCTTACATGTTTTGCTAGATTCTCAGGGTTGTACTTCTCCCAAGATTTTAGTTTGTAGGGAAAGTGTGGGGCAAGAGTTAGCAGATGATTTGTGTTATATAGACATACTGTATAATACCATTGTTTGAGTTTAGAATATTCTTATAATATTTGCCATTGTGGTGAGGTTGAAAATCTTCCAACTATAGCTCAATCTTATTTATAATAGGAATTGTGCAAAACATAGGGTTTAGTGGTGGTCGTCTTTTAGAGTATAAAAATTTATGTGCAGCAGTTTTTAAACAGACCATTTGTGGGAAGTGTTAAAATAAGGAGTGAGGAAGAAATCATGGAATAAAAAGTTCTGTTGAGCTTTGTTTGCCACTTAAATATTTTTTAAAACTTTTTAGGTGCATATCAGAGGCCTTATGGGACACTGCTTATTCATTCCCATTTAACTCTGGTGGCTAGTGTACGTTAACATTCACAGCTGTGAGACGTTTCTGTACTTTATGAATTACCTTGCTTCACTTATTAAGCAAGACTTAATATTTACTGTGATCATGTTTCGTTGTCTTTATTGGCTATCTTGGCATCTTTTTAAAGGGGAAACTGTATGGGAAAGAGTATTTTTCACACTGTATTTGGTCTTGTTGTTGATTATTCCCATTATCTTTTATCTGAACTGATAATTTATTTTTTTTACTGATAAAGTTTTAAGAGCTTTAAAAATGTGTTGAAAAAGTCCCAAGCTTGTTAAGTATTTATTTTCATATTGCTTCTATGACTATGGAATTGCTAAAGTGAATTAAGGAAAGTTGTATTTCAAAAAATGTTTTGCACACTTTGTAACAACTTAAAAGTTTTATGTGAATTAATATTGAGGCTCTAAACAAATACTGTAGTTATATATTTTGATGACCCTTGAAAATAATGATTGTTTCAGACTAATTGTCAATTTTTTAAATAATGGAGTTTCCTTTTATTTTGAGGTTTTGATCCAAATAAGCCTTTTTTTTTTTTTTTTTTTTTAACTTGGGGCTTTGTTTACTAATCATTTTATTAAAATGCTGGAACATTAGCTGAATATCCCAGCCTTTTTTTAATATTCTTAATTCTAAGGCGGTTTAACCTTCCACCACTACTGCTATCATCAAACTCAAGATTTCTTGATATTCTTTATGTTTACGTATGCTTCTGCTCACCAGTGCTAATAGTGATACCCACCAGTTGGTAATAGCCGGAGAATGAGGGAACAAATTCTGATAGAAATATGGCAGTAGACTGGTTGCACAGTTGTTTTAGTTCTGCAGTGGGCAACTGTAGTTTTCTAACTTGCACGGCCATTCAGGGGTTCAGTTGATGGCCTTTTAAAAAATGAACTAAAAAGGCTATTGTCACCATAATTCTGGTTATTGGTAGAGCTATCAGCACTGGTTTTTGAAATAAGTTGAGCTTTCTAGTATCTTGATGGCCTTCAGAATAGCTGTTTTGATGCCTACTTTTAGATCTAGTTAAAATAATCAGGTACTCTGTAGCTTTGAAATCCTCTTGTCTTACAGATGTGGTTAGGTGTTGATGTACCAAATCAAGGTAGTAAACAGTCCAAGATGCAGTTGGAGGCCATCCTGCCCTGCCCTATGCTCTGTGAACTGACCTAGCTAGGCCTTGTTCCTCTATCTGTGAATGCGTGACTCATCGATATGGGCGTTTGTGTTGGGCCCATACCAACCTTGTTTAGTCCCACAGTGTTTTGTTCGCCCCACGGAGGCCAAGAAAGCTGCAGATGAGGCCAAGATGAGATTTGCCCACATAGATGGAGATCATCTGACACTGCTGAATGTCTACCACGCTTTTAAACAAAGTAAGTGAAAATTAGATTGAAGGCACTTTTTTGTCTAAATGTCATTTCCAGCATATAAGATGTTTCTTCATCTCACTTTCATTTATTATCTCTGACAACTTTACATTAGAAACCCAGAGGTACTTTAGAAAAACTCCTGACTAGCATTTAAAATAGAAATTGTCAATCTTTTTCTAAGTTGCTTGTTTATAATCAGAGTAGTAGACACCAATTATAAAAATCCTGAAAAATAAAGGTGATAAAAATGGAAGACTTACATAAATTCTTCACGGAAATACTAATTATTGTATACTTTGTTCTCTCTTTTATTTCTATTCCTTTTATTTTAAAAAAAGAAATGTGTATGTTGAAAAAGGTACCATTTTCTTACATTCATGTAAAGGTGGCAACAGTTAAGAAACAAATATTCCTTACCTGTGTGGGAGTCAGTTTAGTGACACAGTCATACACAGGAGCTTGAAATATAAATTATGTGATCTTTACAAAAAGCAGATTTTGTGTTACCTGTTACCTTAACAACTTAATACTTTTTAACCCAGAAATAACTATGATTAAAGATTTTCATCTCAGAATTAATGATAGTAAAAAGTTGGAAACTATACCTAAATGTCTGGAAGTAGAAAGACGGTTTTGTGAATTTTGCTCCAGACACATGATGAAATAATCAAATTATCACTAGCTGCTTTTGTTGGAACATACCATTTATAAAAGTTAAATGAGAGGGAACCTTAAGGGAGAAAAATACAGAAATGAACTGCAACAGAATCTGAAAAGGTTTGTTCCTGCATATCCAAAAGCTAACCTAATATATGATACAACCAAAAACTGGTAGTCCTATATAAAATTGTGAGATTATCATTCACTTTGTGAGTTTATGGGTTTTTGTAAAGAAAATTTTTCTTATTTATAAAGTTTTCTTCCCAATTTTGTACCTTTTATATTTGAGCTGATTTTTATTATTTCATTAAAATGCCATTTATATTCCTAAAATTAAGCCTGTTGACACTGGCATATCTCCATGGGTGATACTAGTGCAAAGGTGGCCTAAAAGTGGTAGATGGGCAATATGTGAAACACAACAGCACCTAAATTGCTGCACAGTTGCTACTTACATACACTGGTATGATTTGAGTAGCATTGCTGATTATTAGGGAAAGAAAGGGTGGAGACCTTGAGTTCCCAAATCTAAGAAACTGGCAAATGTGGGAGGCAAAGAAAACTTGGTGAGAAATCCAGTGTAGAGACCAGCACATGGTTTACTTCAGTGTATTTATTTTATCCCTCTCCTGTCCACTTATTGCTAATGCATGATGTTAAAGACTGTCCCTAACAGGATACGTGAGTTCAAGAAACCCATATTCCTGTTTGCCAAACATCATACTGGTTGACCAGGGGACATATAACCTGCCCTTGAGAAAAGGAACAGATTCAGTCCATCTTGGTTGTCAGAATCTCCATTGATGTTATTATTAAGATACTATTTTAAGTGATAATTGAAAGATTTTTTGAAGTAACAGCGTGGCCTTCTACCCTGTTATTCTCAACACATTTTAAAGACTATTTTAAAATTGGGAAATTAATATTTTTCTCATGTAACCTTTTGATAACTAGGAATGGCAGTATATTTGGGTTTAATAGTGATGTTTTGAAGATGAATTGAAATATGAAGGAATAATAATATTCTGAAGCTGTTTATACAGCTTACTTTATATACATTATATGTGCTTTTTATATGCTATGAATACGTACAATATTTGAAATTAAAAATTTAATATTTAAGATGGTGAAATTAAGTAAGGCTTGTTAAGTAAGGGGTTTTCTGTCAAAATAAATTGTACACATCTAAAGATGGCTGGTGCAGTCAGAGGGCCCGTATCAAATGAATTAGAACTATAGCATTGAGTTACTACATGTGGGGTAATATTCTAATGAATACTTCCCATTGCCAGAGGGAGGTGAAAACAAAGGATGGCATTTAACCCAAATCTGTATACTTGCCTTAATAAGTCAAAGGAAAGAAAATGACTTGATATTTGATATAACTGTCTCCTTAAAGGGAGTTACAAATAAAAATACCTCTAAAGCATAACTTCAAATGGTTGTCTTTTTATTTTAGTTTTTGATGGATTAATGGATATTTCAACTCATTAAAGATCTATTTCCTACCTCCCCTCTTATTTCTGAAATGAATTTACTGTTTGTTTTCTCTAAAAATCTATTAAAGACAAAGTTGTGCATTATTAAGGGTAGAATTCTAGCATGAAAAAAAATTATATTTCACAGTAATTGGAGAATGATGAACATGGTTCTAATTTTATGCCTTTTATTCCCACCCATTTCCCAAGACCCCTCTCAGTTTTATTATCTAAGGACCTGTGAAGTAAATGATGCAATTTTCTACCATGACTGGTTTTTAGGACATAAAGATGTCATTGTAAAATTTTTTTAGTGATACTTTACTTTGAACTCTTTCTTTAGATGAGCAGAACTAGGTTAGTTGGAAATTTACCAAGGATTTACAGTAGAGAAATACAGTTTTGATAATGTGAAATTACTTTAAGTGCTTGCTTATTAAACATGAGTTGAAGTTTCAGACTTCTTGAAAACTTTATCATTTGTATTTTAGACCTTGCTTGTAAACTGCTGAGAGGCACATGTTTTGTAATCCAACTTTAACCTCTTGAGGTTTAGGGGTCTTTAAGTCCAGCATAATTAAAGAATAGCCTAGAATAATTGTTTGAAGTTTATACTCCTCTAACTTTAAGTGAGGCCTGAACCTAGAGCACTCCACCACTGAGCTACATCCCTAGCTAGTCTGTTTTGTTTTGAGACAGACTTTCAAGTAGCTGAGGCTGGCCTCAGACTTAGGATCTGCTTCAGACTCCTTAGCCACTGCATTTTTATAACTTTTATGTTGTATTAAGTTATCTTAATGTAAGGCATAACATGACCAAATTTTTCAACCTAGCCCTGTGTAATAAACCATCTTTTGAAAATAGCAAGGTTTAGTTAATGGTAGATCAGTCTGTTCACAAAAAGGTGATTATTTTGACATCTACTAGTCTAAAACTCTTAGAATGGTTTCTGACTTTGAATCATGGTACAGGTCATACAGATCTTTAGGAAGTTGATTAAAGAAAATGATATAGGTAAAATTTTCTTTCTGGATTATGTAGTTTTGCTTGTTAATAGAAAATATTCCTGTGTGGATGATTCATGGTCCCCCTGTTTTTCCTTTCCTTCAACTTTTTAGATCATGAGTCGGTTCAGTGGTGTTATGACAACTTCATTAACTACCGGTCCCTGATGTCCGCAGACAATGTACGCCAGCAGCTATCTCGAATTATGGATAGATTTAATTTGCCTCGTAGAAGTACTGACTTTACAAGCAGGGACTATTATATTAACATAAGAAAAGCTTTGGTTACTGGGTATTTTATGCAGGTAAGTAGATTATAAAAGAATTCATGATTAAATGCTTACATAATATTAATTGATTTGTTAAACACTTGAATCCACCTAAGCGCCAAGGTCAGTTTCTAAAGAACACCAATAAGAGTTAATCTTAAAAGTGTTGTTGCATCCAATTTGTTTGAATTAATGTTTAAAAATTGTTCTAATGATTTAACAAGAAGTTAATGTCCTAAGTGGTAAAGTTAGTAGTTGAGTTATGTTAGATGCAACTTTAGAATTACATTTTTTACTCCAGGAGCCTTTGTTATAGCAAATGGGTACTTGGTGGCAAGTTTTGGGGGTCCTGGGGGTGAATGAGTTTCAGCTTTTGGTAAATGTATTAATGTTTCCCTAGATCTTAATATTAATTGGAAATGTAAAAGTACTAAAAGGAAAGAATTAATCTGGGTGCATCCAGAAGTACAGTTCACTTTATCTAGAAACTAAGCACCCTCAAATTTAAATTTGCCAGTGAGTAGATTTTATTGATAGTTTATAGTGATTGTTGCTTATAAGACCCTTGGGCATTGCAAAGCGAAAAATGCCTTTTGGCATAAGCAATAAAGATGAAAAATAATTTAAAAGATTTCATTTAGTTTAGTTGAAGAGTACAATATGGAAGGCTATCAGAACTGAAATTAAAGTGTTGGGTAATTACTGTGAACATTTTATTTTAAGGGGTATAAAACATGGAGAAATTATGTTTGACAATTTCAAAAAAAACTTCCAATAATAAAATTGAAAATGAATAGTCCATTACTTAAGTTGGGATTGATTTTTAGTTGTTTGCTCTATCTCCTGCTTGATTGTTCATTTTATCTTTGTCTTTGAATTTGTCTGTTAAACAGACTGCCAACATTAAGGCCCCTTGTGCTCAGTTTAGTGAAATTAAACACAATTCTAGAGTCAAAGATCAAAGGAGATCTGTGGGGTATCTGTACTTGAATCAAAATAATAGTAAGAATACTCATGTTGGCAAAACATCTTTTGCTTATTAAGAAATGGGTGAATACTATAGTTGAACATGAAAAATCTTTTTTCCAGATGCTTGCCCGTTATTTATTAAATATGAACTTGTATGCACTAACTTAGTTTTTTACATTTCTTAAGTTTGCGGTTAATATCTGAAAAGACTGATAAAGTTCTCTGTAAAGTTTCTTGTAAGCAGCATTCCATGTAATATCCAACACCTAGTGGGTACTTAATAAATACTTATTGAATGAACTTGAGTTTATTTTCTATTATTCACACACAGTCTTTATGCACAGAATTCTAGAATTGGAAAGGGCAATTGTCTTTTGATTCTTTGTTCATTAAATATTAGGTGTCACTAGTCAAGGTATTTGATTTTTTACAAAAAGAATTATAGGGAAGAATTAGATGTAACTGTTCCCTTTTATCTATTTCAGCAGTTGGCACATGGTGCTAGATAGCTCATTTTAGATAGTCTTAAGGCAAGAAAGATCAGATAGAAGTATGACTGTGGACCCATTAAATCCTGTCATAATCCTTTGTAGTGGAGCAGTAACCAAAGACAAATAGGTGTTTCTGTGTTCTAATAAAACTTAGGAATGCTAAAATTTGAATTTCATGTGATTGTCTTGCTTCACAAAATGGTTTTCTTTTGATTTTTTTTTTTTCTGCTCTAAACATTGGAAGGTATTTAGACAAATAGAGGTTGTAAGTTGAATTTGGCCTGTGCTTTGCTGATTTTTAGCTTTTTTTTTTTTTTTTTTAGTGATAAATAGGAATAGCTATAGAATAAAAGGCAAAACATGAAGCCCACCTTTCTTTGTTATGTGGTTAGTTTTACACTAACTAGTTATACTTTTGTAACTAGTTTCTCAGAATCGTTATGTTAATTTACTGGGTTTTGATTTCAGGTGGCACATTTAGAACGAACAGGGCATTACTTAACTGTGAAAGATAACCAAGTGGTTCAGTTGCACCCCTCTACTGTTCTTGACCACAAGCCTGAATGGGTGCTTTATAATGAGTTTGTTCTAACGACGAAGAATTACATCCGGACATGTACAGATATCAAGCCAGAATGGTAAGCATGGTTTTTGTTTAATATAACAAAAACAGCAGGACTTAGAATGGACTTTAATTTTAAGCAAAATAACCCTGTTTTTTTTTTTTTCCTCCATCTATTTGTTTTTGCCAGACCCATTCTGTAACTTAATAATGAGAAATGTCTACCAAGTATGGTGGGACTGAAACACTTAGGGTGATGTTACTTATTGTGCAGATTTTTTCTTACACGGGTTTATGACTTTAACATTTATATAGAACTTTGCCATTTTATTTGAAATGCATAGTTGTTTTCGCTTAGAGTTATAGTTATTAAAAGATTGAAAATGAGAAGATGCAATGATTTGAATGCTAAGATGTTTTCTTCCATAGAACCTGTATTATAATCTAGGATAAGCAGATTGATGTAGTTAGTAAGCTGGAGTGATCAAGTCAACAACCTTATATATATATCTTCATGTGAACAAAAAGAATACTTTTAAAAGAATATATCATGAAGTTCTTTTTTAAAGTTCAGAATAAATTCCACAGAGATTTTATATTTCACTAAATGCATTTCTAAAAGAGGTATTTTTGTCATTGATTTGGATTGGTAGATTTGCCTTTATTCACTAGTATTATTAATGGTTAATGCTAGCTTATAAAGCAACCCTGGTACTTGAGTTAAATGTTAATTTGGTTATTTTTCCTGTTCTGGACAGGTTGGTGAAAATTGCCCCTCAATATTATGACATGAGCAATTTCCCACAGTGTGAAGCAAAGAGACAGTTGGACCGCATTATTGCCAAACTTCAATCCAAGGAATATTCACAGTACTGAATTCCATGCTTAGAACTGAAGTTATTCAGAGGACAGCTTTAAAAGATGAATGAACTCAAAAGTTCAAGTTGTGCTCTTCACGTTGGTTCAATAATGGCCTTTATTTGAAAGCTTTTTAATTTTTCTTTACAGTAAATATTCCATTCTGATTTCATAAATTAAACATTTATGCCTCCCCTTTGTGTTGACACTGTAGCTCATACTGGAAAAGTCGATCAATGTTTTGCAGTTTATTGAAAGTAGTTCTATATATAACAATGTTTAAGCATTTCTTTAGAAATGGTTGAAAATGCTTCTAAAATGTGATTATCGACCATGGTATGCATGATCGTTGTAATTGTTGACATTCCTTTTAGAAGTTGTGAAATGTTACAACTTGTGCTTATGTAGACACAATCTTCTGTCTCAGTACAGAGGCACTGACTTCAATAAAGTCTATTTATACTAATTTTGGTCAAAGCCCTTTGGTATCTTTATTCTAGTCTCTTTAAGTATAACTGCTTCTCTTCCCAAATGTGGGGCTTTTTCTTTTTTATTATAATTATACTATTACGTACTTAGCTTTTTTCCACAAGGAGTACTCCCTAAGTAGTTAAAGCAATATTTTTAAGAGCATAGAGTAGGTAGCACTTTGTTAGTTTAATCAGTTTATGATCTCTGTTAGTTTAATTGGTATGTGATCTAATGAGATACAGTATGTAATATCTTTTGAAATTGGATCCTAAGAAAGAGAATGAAAGGATAGGTTCCTCTTTTTCTTACAGTTCATTTCATAAAGCTGATAATTTATTATCTTGTTACTGCATTTTTGCCAGATCTTTTTAATAACAGATAAATGTTTAAAGTACTCTATCCTCTGAAACATGTTTATTTGTATTAAATAGGAGGAAATGATATTGTATTGTATATCTTGATCAGTTTTACTAAATTTTGAGTATTGGAAGTTTTATGCAATATACAAAGTCATTTGTATAGTGTGTTAAAATAAGAATTTGATCTTCCATTTCCTATAACAGGCAGTAGACAGGTTCATACCCCTTTGGAACCAAAAATGGGATGTTTGATGTGGCCCATCAAAGATTCTATAATAAATCAGTTGTTTTCACTTGAAGACTAAATACTGTACTCATTAATGTCTGGACTCCCCCTTTCTCCTCCCTTTTTAAAAAATTTCAAGAAAAAGTTTATAGGATGTATTAGATTTAAATATACTTGGAAATGTTTTTAGTATGTGATATAAGGGCTTAGTTGGGCAAATTACAGGCTGATACTTTTTATTGTGGGTCACTGTTACTAAATAATGCCTAGTGGCTTCTGTGGTTTACGTTCTTCTGCAGGTACCTCATTTTGTTCCCATGGAATAATGTTTTAGATTACATTTAAATACTGGTATGAGTTTCCAGGAATTATGAATGCATTGTCCATTTTGTAAGCTATGAGCCTGCATTGGAAGTAACCACATGGAGACAGCAGTGCAAGCTGAACTTCATTCCCCATCGTGGTATCTGCCCCACAGCCTCAGGTTTTGCTAAACTGGCCACATACAACCAAACCCGGGAGTTTCTTACATATTGTTGGCTGAGGTATGACTTCTGAAATTATGGTCTTTAACCTTTATCTTACAGACTTGGCAACTAGACAACAAAGGTGTCACAATTTTCTTCGTTCTACAGATTTACACTGTCAGTAACTTTGGTATAGAACCAAAAAATAAATAAATTTTAAAATTACCGTCAACACTAATATTTGGAAATCCTTTTTGAAGATTATGCTAAGAGGTTTTCTTCCTTGGCTCTCAGTTTATACAATGCCTTTTTTTCTTTCTTTTTTTGTGTATGTGCATGCATGTTGGGGACCAAACCCAGGTCCTCACATGCAAGGCTTGTTCTTTGCCACTGAGGTATAGCCCCAGGTGAGCTCCATTTTGTTGTGAATGTGATCTAAGGAGAGTTCGTCATCAGCAAATAGAACCCTTGGCCCTGTAGAAGTTAAGGAAAGAAATTAGACAGTTATAAAGAAAGACAACTTGTAAGATGGTAGACAGTATAAAGTATAACCTAACTTAAATCCTATATAGGATAGCATTCTCCCCTCAGCCTTTCATACAGCATTTGACTCCTTCCTAGAGTTATCTGAGTCCTTCCTAGGTTTATAGTACTTGGGAATAATTTTAATTTTAATGATATCCCCTTTGCTCAGATATATTTAATTACCTTAAGGCTACTTAGTAGTTTCACTAGAAAGGCTGAGCTAAAAATATTTCTAATTTTTTTCTGTACATAAGGCTATTTGGTGATCATTTAGCTATTTGAAGTTATTTGTCGTCATCCCTGTTTCCTTTTCCTGTCATTTTTCATCTAACATGGTTTCTAGATATCCTGAACATTGCTGGCTAACCTGCCAGGTAGGTCTGGATTGCTGTCTCTGGATTACTATGGTCTCAACTAGCAGACTTCAATTGAATTTATATTTCCCAGAAGACCACGCCTTCCATCACTTCTGTTAATGCAACTTAAGATTACATTAACCTTCCAAGCAACCACAGCATACTTTTGGCTCATATTAATCTTACTTTGAATTTAAGGCACCTAATTATTACATGAGAGTTTTAATCTTTGTGGCTCAGGGCTGAGAATGATCCTTCACAGAACTTGGGCAATGTTTAAATGCATCTTTAAACTCATTAAACAACATTTAAAAAATTAAAGCCTTTTAACTACTTCTGTTGGTGTGGCAATGGATGTATTTTACTTATTGTGATTCTCTAACTTGGATTCTGGATAATTGCTCATTTCTAGGACATTTGCTCTTAACCTAAGAAAGGCAGCACTTGCTTGCCAGCTTCATTAGTTATGTTGCAAAGATTAGCTCAAACCTGGGAGTTTCATGGTTATATTTCTTCATTTGTAATTAATGTCTTGTAAATTGGAACTGAGAACTCAGGTCATAAATATAACTTAACAATTGTTTTTAAAAAACTATTTAGTTTTGTTTTACTTCTTAGTGGTATTCCTTTGTAGGATTTATAATTTGATTAGTGACCATTGTTCACTTTATTAAGCACCAACTCAGAGGCGTATGTATGAGGCTAGCTAAAAAGATAAATTGATAGAGGCCTTCTCCAGTTATGGTCTAGTGAAGTTTAAAACCTGTCCAAAAAGAACTAACATAAAGCCAAGTGTGACGAATACAGTATTAAGGAAAGAGCTGTCAGAAATCAAAAAAAGGAAAGATTGGTTAAGATTAAACAAGTCTTAAGAATTGACATCCTCAGAGCTGCTGGGAATGAATATGAGCCGCCCTTTAAGTTAACTGGTCAAGTGTGAGCTACTGGAAGTTGGGGAGGCCTGGCAGGCAGAGGCAGATCAGCACTTTCCTGGCTCTAGCCATTGTAGCCACATCATAGTGCTAGTGGTATTTCATATAATGAAGCTAGAAACCCAAATCTTATATATGTAGGGTCTCCCTACTAGAAATTTAAAACTTAAAAAAATAAAAAAGCTGGATTTGGGGCCACTATTTGCAATTTCTGGGTTCAGTAATGAGGTAAAATTTTATGGAGAAGAAAAATGGTTTGGTTGGACCTTGAGTAATTACTAGGATTTCAACAGTATTCTCTGCATTTCTAGCAGCATCTTTAAGATGCTTTTTTAAAGAGTTCTGTTCTATTAGGGTACAATTAACATGTATAAGCTATACCTTGTTAGATGGACAGTTTGATAAAATTTGACTGCTTCATTCTGCTGTGTAACCACAGTCAATAAGTAAAATTTTCATCACCCCAGAAATTCCCCCCATCTTTTTGTAGCTAATAATTTCCCCTTACTCCAAAGTGCTTGGCAATTTCTGAACTTTCTGTTCTTATGGTTTTTCCTTTTTCAGAAGGTCATAAATGGAATTATGTGTCTTAGGTTAAGTGACTGGTCACAGTTTTTGCCCTTTTTAATTATTAGTTTGTTTTATTGTTCAGAGAGTGCACTTTAGATTGTACACCTTCATGAGATAAATGTTTTGCTCCGCCGTTGCCATGTCTTTTTTTTTCAAAGAGTGTCTTCTGAAAAGCAGAACTTTTAAATACTGATGAAGTCCAGTTTATCTTGTTTTTGTGTGTGTTGTCTTAAATGATTTGTGCTTTTTGTGTCGGGGTGTGTAGAAAAGGTAACCACGGGTGCAGTGGCCTACAGCATCATATATCCTGTGTAGAAAGAGTAAGGACAGATGAGGTTGTGAGCTTAGGTTAGGCTTGAGCTGTGAAGGACCTTGAAGTGGGTGGATTCAGTATAAAGGGTGGATTGCCAGAGGAGGAGACACTGAAGCCGCTTCAAAAACAAAACAAACTAAAAAAACAACACTACATGAGCATCATGCAATAATTGGACACACTGGGGTCTTATCTGCCCTTAGCAGGCGTGTGTCTTCTTCAGTATGCCAGCACTTTAGCTTGCCAGCATTTGCTCTACAGGATTTCAGTACACTCATTTTTTTTTTTTTTTTTAGGGGGTACTGGGGACTGAACATGGGCATGCTGACCACTGAGCCACATCCCCAGCCCCATTTTGTATTTTATTTAGAGACAGGGTCTCACTGAGTTGCTTAGCACCTCAATTTTGCTGAGGCTGGCTTTGAACTCATGATTCTCTTGCCTCAGCCTCCAATCTGCTAGAATTACAGGTGTGCTCCACCATGCCCAGCTGATTGTGTTTTTTAAATGGAGGAGTGATGTGGCTAATTGAAGGGAACATAATCAATCCAAAAGTAACTTGCTCATTTTAGTTGGAAATATTTCCAAAGTGGTCATACATTCTCTCCTGCTATTTACACCATATTGCTTTTCCCAATGACTTAGAACTACCATGGTGATCATTGTCTTTTTATCTGTACTTGGAATAAAGTATTTGAGTATTCGAGGATGTTTTCTTCTGTCAGACTGTTGAGTTCCTTAAGGGTTAGTGCCTTGCACTATGTCCCTAGTACCAGGTCCAGTATGTGATAACTTTTTAACAAATCTATTATAAAATATGACTGCTGTGGCTTTCTTGTGTTTGCTTTGTATAGTGCTGGTCACCTTTTTACTGGTGTTGATAGGACTTCTTACCTCATAGATCTCCTGCACACACGCACGCACACACACACTCCTGCCCACCTTTATCTAACCCATTAGCCTAGAAACTGGATTGTCCAAGTGTGTGGTGTGGAGTGTAGTGTGATGGTTAGAGCATGCACCTTGTAAGTAGACTGGTGGGATTTCCCAATCCGAGCTCTGCCCTCACCTAGCAGTGAGGTAGTGGAATAGTGACTTTGCTAAGCCTCTTGCTCATTTCTTAAAAGAAAGATTGATGATAATAGTTACTAAAGTGGTTGTATTCACTAAATGAAGTAATACATGAGCAGCTCTCCTCCTTTTACAGATAGGATTAAGTAGATAGTTGGTAAGGCCTATATTGTGACCTGCAGGGTTCTTATTTTTAATCTGGAAATAGATCCTGTGTGTAAGTGTCGATACTGTTGTGATACTAATTAGAGGGTTTCTCCTGAACATTTCCCTTTTCCTCATATGTGAGGTGTTGCTTGAAGGGGAATGTATGGAAAGGAGTCAGAGCTCTTGCTGGATAATCCACATGTATTTGTGAGCAGAAAGTGGTATATCAGTTACAATGTATATAGATACTGCAATCTGCTGAAGTCAGTATCTGATTATAAATCTATGACCAAAATGTGTCTCTAGGGCCCCAGAGCATTGAATTCTAAGAATCAGTTGCAGGAGAGGCTATATTTGTTTTGACCTTCCAATTCCTGAGAGGGTTTTGGCACAGCCAGACCAGGAGCATGTATAGGCCTAGAGAAGATTTTGAATTCTGCATACAGGCTTTTCTTCTGTAGTCTCTTTTTTCCTAGTTCAATAATGGCAGAGAGGCTGGGGCTGGACCTCTGTGGCAGCGCACTTGCCTGGCACGTGTGAGGCACTGGGTTCAATTCTCAGTATAAATAAATAAAATAAAGGTCTATCAGCAACTAAAAATTTTTGTAATGAAAAAATAAAGGTAGAAAAGTAATATTGAAATAATATAAATAAGGTAATTAGCTTGTTATGTACTTTGTACTGAAGTAAAAATAATAG